CACGGGGGTAAAAGGAGGACCCCCCCCAAAAAAAAAAAAAAAAAAAAAAAAAAAAAAAAAAAAGACAAAAAGGAATATAAAATTTTACTTGCTCACAATTGAATCAATTTATTGTTTAAAAAAAAAGAAAAATCTTTGTTCGATGTTAACTACTTTAATGGTAAAAATCTAAAGTCTCAACAAAACACCAGAGTAATATTACTAAATAAGTGAGCCAATGTGCTTACTCTGTAAGAAATGTTTTCTCCTCCTTGATGTGAAAGCTGACTAAATTCTCTGAAGTATTCATTATATTTGTTTTTATTTCCAGCTATATGACATATACATTTATTTCCTCTTGCACTTTTTAGCAAATATGAAGACATATAAAATAATGATACTTTGGAAGTATCTCTCCTAACTTACAGAACACTATTGCATATTATTTTTTTCATTTACTGAACTATGTCACTTTGGCATAACTAATGGCATGGTGCTAAGAGCTGGGTTAATACCCTTTAGGACTAGAAACTACATCTGGCTACATTCGTATTTCAGTTAGTAACTATTCTTCCATTAATAACTGTGGACAGCAACTACTAACCTCATGCTTTTCCCATGTAAACTCCATAATATAAACTCAGTCATCCCATTAGACATTATCACAAGATCTTGTACTTGTTCTCAAGAGGACTCAGAACACTTCTAATTATTATTTTATGTGTATGAGTGTTTTTCCTGCATGTATGTAAGTGCGGCCACGTCATGCAATGCCCGTAGAGGTCAGAAGAAGATGTCAGATCCCCTGGAATGGGAGTTATGGACAACTGTTAGCCACCATGTGTTAAGAGCCAGGGCTCTTAACCTCTAAGCCGTGCTCTCTAGCCCTAGAACATTTTCTTAAGTCCACACTTGCTTCTGCAATTGTTTATTATTGTTTGAGCCCCATCATTCTCTTCAGACCAAGTTCTACATAAAGAGGCAATGCTGCGATGAGGCAAAGCTGAGGTTCTGTGCTTTTTGAGCAGACCTTGTGCTAGCAAGAGAATAACCTAATGTTCTACCATAATGTTATTCTTTCATAGTTATAACAATACAATGAGCCTTGAGAAATAGCAACCCCCCCCCCAAAAAAAAAAGATTTCACAACAAAAACAATTAAAAAAAAAGCTCACGAAACTCAAAAAAAGAAGAAAAAATATAGATACCTTATACTCTTGATCTGGAAGCATACTGAGTAAGAAAGTTACCATCTTCTGGGGAAATTCATACTTGATTGTCCAAAACAATAATTCTTCTAGAAAACTTTTATGTTTCAAAACATCCATTATGGATTGATCTGTGTAAGAAAGAGATAATTTACTACTCATTGATTTAAGTTGCTCATCTCATTTAAACCTTACCATAAAATATAACAGCCCATCAAACAGACACCTGAAAGTATTGACAAATCAAGGACCCTTTCATGAATGGACTGATATGTCATTAGTAAATTAGGTTTGTGTAATTCCCACACTGCATAAATTACAAAACATTTAATCCGAAATTTTTAATATAAAGTCGTTACTAAAAAATTACCTTTTTTTGGGGGGGGGGTCTTTTTGAGACTGGAACTTACACTCGCCAAGATCCACTTGCGTCTGCCTCCCAAGTGCTGGGACTAAAGACGTGGGCTGCCACGCCCAGCTGAATAATTGCTTATTCTTTTTTTTGGTCTTTTTGAGACAGGGTCTCCTCATAGCCACAGCTGTTCTGGAACTCACTATGTAAATCAGGGTGGCCTTGAACTCACAGAGATCCACCTGCCTCTGCCTCCTGAGCGCTGGGATTAAAGGCATATGCCACCACGCCTGGCTTAATTGCTTATTCTTAAACATGGCCATGTACCTAAAATTTCCACTAAGATTAAAAATTTAGGTTTAGCATTCCTAATCCAAAATCTAAAATGCAGCTGGGCATAGTAGCTCACACCTTTAATCCCAGCACTGGGGAAGCAGAGGCAGGCAGATGTGTGGGAGATCTAGGCCAACCTAGACTACATAACAAGTTCCAGGCCAGTTGGGGCTACAAGGAGACCCTATTTCAAAAAAACAAAATAAAACAAACAAAATCTAAAATGCTACTAAATCTGAAATGTTTTGAGCAATATAACTAGAAATGCAAAAATTTCATACCCTAAGAAAGGTCTAAAATCTGAAACTGGCCCTAAGAATCTTAGATAAGGAATACAATCTATAATTTTCTTACAAGAATATTCGTGGTACAAATTTAAAATAATATTTTAAGCTAAAGCCAAAGTTATCTAAATTTTAAATTTTTTTATTTCAAAAGAACAGAACTCTTTAAAGGATTCAATGGCATCAATTTTTATAGTATCCTTCCTAGGGTTAGGGATTTAGCTCAGTTGGTAGAGTGCTTGTCTAACATGCAGGCAATCCTTGAGTTGATCCCAGCACCGAATATACCAGAGGTGGAGGCAGGAGGATCAAGGTCCTCTTCAACTACAGAGGAACAGCCTAGGCTACATGAGACCCTGACTCAAAAAGAAAAAAGGACTCTCACAAATGAGGAACTAGTTGCAATACAATTACTGATGCATTGTTTACCCTAATTTATTATTTTGTGGGAAAGGGAATAAAAATATAGTCCAAAAAGGAGACATACGAATGTGCACTGGGCCCAAGATGCCTTCTTCATGCAAAAGGAAAGGGGGAAGCTTTGTTCCTTTTAAATACATACTCCAAGGAGATAGAGTTACCCACCAGAAGACCTTCTCCTAAAGCCACTCTCAGAGGGCTAGGCTGTCTCTTGCAAATCTCTGCATCCTTAATCAACAGAAAGTCTCATGTGTATATATGAACTGTATATTTTTAGTAGTTTATCCCTCTTTCACTCTCATTCTCACTGATAACTCAGTAATTTTCTCCCTGAGTAAGGACATCAAATAATATAAGGAACTTGAGCATGGTGATGCACACCTTTAATCCCAGCAGGGACAGATGGACCTTTGTGAGAGCAAAGCCAACCTGGTCTACATACAGAGAGTTCTAGACCAGCTGGCTACAGGGAGACCCTGTCTCAAAAAGACCAAAAATAATAATGATAATAAATAAATAACAATAATAATATAAAAAAATCAAAACAACATAGCAAGTGTTGAACTGTGAGTAAAAGGTTCAGTGACGCTATGCAGAAGCTAATATTGGATGAGAGATTTGAAAAAAACAGGATCACACTCATCAAAACACTTAGGTACCGCCTTAATTACATCACCGCTTAAGGTGTCTTGGAAGATAACCTTGTGATTTTTCAATAAACCCTAGGCCAAAAGAGTTCTATTATTGAACAATGTATTCATAACACCCTGCCTCAAATGAGTCTAAAAGAGTAACAAAGTTCATTATGTCATTACCCTCCCGATTCTTAGATAAAAATGTATTTAAAGCTTGAGTTATTAGATACAACTTTAGTCCAATATTTTAATTCACAGCTTAATAAGAAAATGGCATCAAAATGTCTGCATATTCTGGAAATACTATGATTTTACCACAAAAAAGGCAAAAATATCACTGATCCTATAGTGCTGTAAGCATGACTAATATATAATGGCAGTTAGCATATGAAACATAATTATTGGGGGCTAGAGAGATGGCTCAGCAGTTAAGAGCACTTGCTGCTCTTGCAAAGGACCTGAGTTGAGTTCCCAGCACCCACATCTGGCCATTTACAACAGCCTGAAACTCCAGCTCCAGAAAATCCACCACCCTCTTCTAGTGTCCATAGGGCACTGCACTCTAGTGCACATACCCCACACACTCACACATACATATAATTTTAAAAAATAATCTAAAAAGCCAGGCATGGTGGTACACACCTTTAATTCCAGAACTTGGAAGGCAGAGGCAGGCTGATCTCTGGAAGTTCAAGCCAGCTTGGTCTACACAGTGAGTCTCAGGCCAGATGGAGCTACATAGTGAGACCCTGTTTCTAAATAAACAAATAATATTTTAAAGAAAAAATATATAATCACTGTATGTATCTCTTTATTGGAAGTGAGGTACTATAATAATTTTTCAAATCTCATTTTTTATTTATAAAACAGAAATTTCTTCCTTCTCAAACATTCCATTCTCAGAACATGTCAATGATTTTAAAACATAAATAAATGGTACTTGCAAGAAATGAGATGAGGGGCTGGAGAGATGGCTCAGCAATTAAGAGCACTGACTGCTCTTGTAGAGAACCTGGGTTCAATTCCCAGCACCTACATGATGGCTAACAACCATCCATAACTCCAGTTCTAGGGAATCTGATGCCCTTTTCTGCCCTCTGTGTTCAACATACCACACAGGTGCACTTACAGACATGCAGGCATCATACTCATACACATAAAATTTAAAAAACTAAAAAAAAAAGAAATGAGATAATGAAATACAAATTTGAAAAATAACAAAAGCAGAACCCAAGAGAATTCAATAGCAGGAATGTAAGAATTATAATTTAAAATTGGAGTACAATCCACAGCATGTACCTCATGTACCTATACCTAATATGATTCTCACAATTCACTTAGCATATACATGACTGAAAACTTCAAACTACCAAAAAATAATTAAAAACAAGCCTGTACTCACAGGTATTTCTTTCACAAAGCTGAACAAAAATGAGTGCTATTAATATTAGAATTCAGTTCTGTCTCTGCAAGCTTGTACTAGCCAAATTAACAACCTGCAGTCACTCTTATTAATTGGCATGCACTTAAAAGGAAAGATACACTAACATTGTCTAAAATCAATAAAACAATATAAAAACCAAAAGAGCTGTGGCATCTATTAAATTAAACTAGCTGCAGCTATGTAAAATTTAAGATTTTTCAACTTCAGGAAGGAAAAAAACAATGTCCTGGTTTTTGTTTGTCCACTGGCTGGTTAGTTGGTTGTGCTGGGGACAACACAGCCAAGGTCTCACACATGCTAGGCTCATTATCATTCTTTTTTAATATTTTATATATTATTTTTATTTTATGTGTATGAGTATATTGCCCACATGTATGTAAGTGCCATGTTGTGCCATGCCCACAGAGGTCAGAAGAGGGCGTCAGATCCCCTGGAACTGGAATTACAAACAGTTGTTAGCCACCATATGGGTGCTGGGAGCCAAACCCAGGTCCTCTGCAAGAGCAGCCAGTGCTCATAACTGCTGAGCCATCTAAAAAAATCCATGTGGTGCAATGCTGAAGGAGGTCAGAAGAGGGCGTCATATCCCCTGGAACTGGAGTTACAGATGGTTGTTAGCCATCATGTGGGTGCTGAGAATCAAACCCAGGTCCTCTGCAAGAGCATCCAGTGTTCTTAACTGCTGAGCATCTCTCTAGTCCTTATTGTTGTTCTTAATGGTAGTCTCAATCTTGCAAGATTTCCATGTGGTGCAATGCTGAAGGAGGTCAGAAGAGGGCGTCATATCCCCTGGAACTGGAGTTACAGATGGTTGTTAGCCATCATGTGGGTGCTGAGAATCAAACCCAGGTCCTCTGCAAGAGCATCCAGTGTTCTTAACTGCTGAGCATCTCTCTAGTCCTTATTGTTGTTCTTAATGGTAGTCTCAATCTTGCAAGATTCTAAGGTATATGCTATGCACTTTTTGTGTAATACTATGGAAATACGGTTAGCTTTCATTGGTCAAGTGTGATTCTCAATAGTGCCTAAACTACCTTAAGTCAAATAGTAATAAGAGTTACTTTTTGGTAGGTTTCTAGGAATGATTATTTTGTAGGACTCATGGAGAAAACTGAATTCTCCACAGAGGGACATCTAAGGAAAGGAGTAAAAGGGGAGAAATTAATTTATTTCTGTTTGACCTTTGACTAGCATCCATAATTTTTTAAGGAGGAAATATAATAAATATTTCCTTTTAAAAAAAAAAAGAAAAGTTATTTTTTGAAGAATCACTATGTTATGTAAATGTATGACTAAGGCGAAGGTTTAGATACCAGGAGCTAAGCTCTGTACCTCCATAGTACCTAAACTACCTTAAGTCAAATAGTAATAAGAGTTACTTTTTGGTAGGTTTTCTAGCTCCCTAGCTCAAAGATCTTAGCTATCTTTGTGAACGCCCTGCACATGGCTAATTTCAAAATTAAGTTAAATCAAATAGTCAAGTATATTTGCATTATGTGCAGCACAAACAACAGGTTCAATAAATATTGTTTATCATCATTACTATTTCCTTACTACAGGCATAACTACTCCACTTCTTTTAAGTATGAGTCCTTCATGAACCCTTATTATGTGTTAAGAACTTTAGTATAATTATAACAAAATTAATACTTTACATCCAAAATGAGTCCAAATGCAAATTTGGGGCTCAGATATGATTTTGCACATTTTATAATAAAAACTATGAACAAATCCCAATACTAAAAGCTTTACTTGTTTTTGAGGTGCCCAAAAACTCCCTCCTAACAACACATTGTCCATTTCGAGCAAACGTAATAATATTAACTCTTGGCTTTGACATCACAAAGGCCAGTCAGGTTTTCTTAAAGATTAAGTTCTTTTTTTTTTTTTTTTTTGGTCCTTTTTGGAGACAGGGTCTCCCTGCGGCCCCATCTGGCCTGGAATTCACTCTATAGACCAGGCTGGCCTTGAATTCACAGAGATCCACCTGCCTCTGCCTCCCAGTTTAAGATTAAGTTCTTTATAAAACATTTTGAATAAACACAGCCAAGTGTGGTGGCATATACCTGAAATCCCAGTACAGGAGGCTAAGGCAAGAGGATTGTGAGTTCAAAGCAACATGAACACAAAGTGAGTTGGAGGCCAACCTTGCCTATATAGTGAAGCCCTATTTCAAAACTTTTTAAAAAAGAGACAAAATATAAATACCTTTGGTGCCACTGCTCAGCTTTACCCTCTTTCTCTTGCCCAAGCCTTGACTTCCATCCTGGTCCTCCTGGAGGAAACAAAGTCAGCATTAAACAATCATATTAATAAATTTATACATTTCATATAAATATAAATGTGCATACAAATTCTGTCAAATATATACATGCTTACATAATATTAACTAACATGTTTCATTTTTACATATCTACTATAATAAATGGGTTTTTTAATTTTTATTTATTTTTATTTTATGTGTATTATTAGTGTTTTGTCTGCATGTAACTGCACTATGTACACGCAATGCCAGCAGAGGGCATCAGATCCTCTGGAACTGAAGTTATTGATGGTTGCTAGCCACCATGTAGGTAGGTCCTGGAAACCAAACCCAGGTCCTCTGCAAGAGTAGCCAGTGCTCTTAACTACTGGGGCATCTCTCCAGCCTCTTTAATAAGTGTTTTAATGCTATTTTTATTAACGCACATAGTAAAATAAGCATTTTTTTAATTTTATTTATTTTTATTTTATGTGTATGAGTATATTGCCTGCATGTATGTGAGTGCACCCATGTCATACAATGCTGCAGAGGTCAGAAGAGGGCGTTGGATACACCTGGAACCGGAGTTAAGGACGGTCTGTAGGTGCTAGGAATCGAACTTGGGTCCTCTGCAAAAGCAGTCCTCTGCAAGAGTCATCTCTCCAGCCCCGATACAAGCATTCTTAATCTGGACTTATAGGCTCTTAAGCATCCCAAAATGCCAAAATAAAAAACTTTCCTAAGGTTTCATACATAATATTAAGGCATAAGGAAGCCAAAGGGGTAGAAGGAGTGTTTAACATACTAAAGAAGGTAAGAGCTGGGCATGGTGGCACATGCCTGTAGTTCCAGCACTCAAGAGGCTGAGGCAGGCAGATCCCTGTAAGTTCAAGGCCAGCCTGGTCTACACAGAGAGTTCCAGGTCAGCTGGGGCTACAGGGAGACGGAAGGAAGGAAGAAGGAAGGAGGGAGGGAGGGGGAGGGGGGAGAAGGAAGGAGGGAGGGAGGGAGGAAGGAAGCAAGGAAGGAGGAAGGAAGGAGGAAGGAAGGAGGGAAGGAAGGAAGGAAGAAGGAAGGAAGGAGGGAGAGAGGGAGGAAGGAAGGAAGGAAGGAAGGAAGGAAGGAAGGAAAGAAAGGACGGAAGGAGGGAGGGAGGGAGGAAAGAAGGAAGGAAGAGCGGGACACAGAATTGTTTCGCACGGGGCTCCTTTCCCTAGGGAAGGGAAAGATGTCGGCGGAGGGAAAGATGGACGGGAAGGGAAGGGAAGGGAAGGGAAGGGAAGGGAAGGGAAGGGAAGGGAAGAAGGGAAGGGAAGAAGGGAAGGGAAAAGGGAAGGGAAAAGGGAAGGGAAGGGGAGAGGAAGGGAGAGGAAGGGAGGGAAGGAAGAGGAAGGAGGGAGGGAGGGAAGAAAAAAATCAAATTCTGAAAAATAAAGTATATTGGAAGCTAACGTTTTTAAGTTTTTTTAATGTTTTATTTATTATTTTTATTTTATGTGTATGCATGTATTGCCTGCATGTAGGTAAGTGCACCCGTGTTGTGCAGTGCCCGCGGACAACAGAAGAGGTTGTCGGATCCCCTGGAACTGGAGTTACTGACAGTTGTTAGCTGCCCTGTGGGTACTGGGATTCAAACCCAGGTCTTCTGAAAGAGCAACCAGTGTTCTTAACTGCTGAGCCATCTCTCCAGCCCCGGAAGCTAACATTTTTTAAAATATGCTTAGGGGAAAAAAATTCTAGAATATTGGCAGGTTCTGCTCATCATGACACACACATTCATGAAAAACCTCAAACAATATGGATTAAGGAGGGGGCGGCACTAAGGGGAAAATCCCTCAAAACCTACTGAAGTTTGTAACCAAAGAAGTATATAAGCCAAAATTGATACCTGGGGATTTAATTTGTATGCCAGGAAAAAATCATGAGATAGTTTAGACTGTCTCAGAGAATGCTGGCATTATACAATAGAACAGAAAAGCTAGGCAACTCAGAGAATACACAAGGAAAGAGGGACAGAGGCCAAAGTTCTGTGAAAGCTATACATAAAAAGTAAAACTACCAGTGTACCTCTTGGGAAGGAGTCCTGGGCGCAGATGCTCATTTCTAATTTTCTTAAAATAATGCTGGGAAGGTTCCTGCTACCTTCATAGCAGAACTAAGGGACTTTTCCTCTATAAATAAATATGATTCAACACTCCTAAGCCAGGGAATACTGCATACAAATCAATAACTTCCAAACTACACTAACATCTTTTCCTTTTCAAATGAGTGTGAACCAACTGGTATTATAACAAACATGTAAGAGGGTTTTGGTATACATTCAGTTGTGCTAGTAATCACCAAATTATTTTGAACAAGAAACAATTGCCCTAAGACAAGAAACCCCAAGAAAAACAGATCAGCTCTTCAAATGTATTTCTCAACACAAAGTGGACTTTCTTTCTCTGATGAATTTACTAGACAGATTAAGAAAAAAAAAATGTGACCTCCATAAAAGGTCAAGTAAATTCATAGTTGGTTAAAACAAACTCAAAGAATGCTAATGCAGTATGTACAAAGCTAAAGGAATATGTAACATAGCAGGTTATAAAAAAATCCAAAGGAAATCTTGAAAGCCACTGTAATATGACCATTCTATTTAAATCAACTTTACAATTACAAAGCAGGAAGGGAGCACTAACTTGTCAGCCAAAGGGGAAGCATCTTAAACATTTCATTTATCCACAGTGACTCTTGTCAACACTTTAAGATTGCTGCTGAAAAGTTAATAAAAGGCCTTGGTCCGAAATGAAGGCACATTACTCACATTAAAAGAGTCCCATCACTAATACATTGATTCAGATCATGGATTCTTAAAAAAAAAGAATTTACTAGATAGATTTTTTTAAGCTACATACAGCAAGGAATATTAAATAACTAAAGGTTCATATTTAAAAGGGTGTCATATGGAAATAAAAATAAAGATCTAAGGTCAAAATAAGAACAGTATAAAAGTTATACTATTTTGAAAAATATTGAGAACTTTTGTTTGAAACAGGGCCTCATGTAGCCCAGCTAGCCTAGAACTTATAGCTGAAGATGGCCTTTAACTCCTGATCTGTCTGCCTCCTTCTCAAGTGCTAAAATTACAGGTGTAGCACCATCATGACCAGTAAAATACAAAGAACTTTTTAATTCTAACAACTATCAAAGAAGGGATCAAGCTGTCTCAAAAGGGGGTAAGCTCCCAATCTTTGGAAGTATTTCTAGAGAAGTTTACCAATTCTCCAATTCAATTCATCAATGCTGTAAAGTTTATTACTACACTGGAAAGGAAATATATTAGATAGTTCTAAGACCTTTCCCACCAAAACCTTATAAGATTTCCCCCATACATATCCCACTCTTCACCATTAATGTAATTTCTAACAAATTAAAATTCCAAAATTTCCAAAAATAAATTTACTTTTCTTTCACCTAATTCATTTTTGAAAAGTATTTCTACCTTCCAATTTCAATAATCCTATTTTACTAGATGTTTTGGCAAATGAGATTTATTTTTATTCTGTATTGACTAATAGCAAGAAGTCAGAGAACATCTATACAGATATCTCAACATTTTATTTTTCTAATGATTATTCTCAATTATATAAGAATATGCAAGGAAAAAAAGAATGTAAGCGAACAAGCAGAAATAATAAATACTGGTTATCTCCAGATGGCAGAGCTCAAAGTAAATATTTTTCATATTTTTTTCTACTTTTTAATCTCTCCAAAATGCACATTCAGATGGTCATAGTTTCACAGAAGAAAAGCGTTTTATTTCATTTGTATTAACAGCGAGGTAACTCAAAGTCACAGAAATTAATGATCTGCTTATAGTACACAAATACACATTGTTTATGGTAAATGATTACAGTGAATATCTTTTCTTAAAAAGCTGTCTTTAGTGGCTGCAGAGATGGCTCAGCAGTTAAGAACACTGGCTGCTCTTGTAGAGGACCTGGGTCAGTTCCTAGCACCCACATGGTGGCTAATAACTGTCCGTAACTCCAGTTCCAGGGGATCCAACACCCTCTTCTGACCTCCTTGACACAGGTGCATTTACATACATGCAGGCTATACACATAAAATAAAAGTAACAAAAAAAAATTTAAACTGTCTTTAAGCTGGGAATGCTGGTAAACACTTGTAACCCCAGTAGTCAAGAGGCCGAAGCCAGCCTACATCACATAACAAGCCCCTGCCTCAAAAAAATTTTAAAAAAAGTTACCTTTACCTAAAAATTCCATTTCTTTTGGGAAACTCTCTAAGTATAATTAGGTTCATTTACATATAATGCTAGTGATATTGAATTATCTGATGGTCATAAATTTAAACAACATAGAAATTTATATTTTAGCCAGGCGTCGTAGCGCACACCTTTGATCCCAGCACATGGGAGGCAGAAGCAGGCTGACTTCTGAGTTCAAGGTCAGCCTGATCTACATAGCAAGTTCCAGGCCAGCTGGGGCTACAGGGAGACTCTGTCTCAAAAAAGACCAAAAATAAGTATACTTTAAAATATTTCATAAAGTTGTGCTCCTAGGCCAGGTATGGTGGCATGTCTTTAATCCCAGCACTTGAGAGGCAGAAGCAGGCATAACTCTGTGAGATGAAGGCTAGCCTTGTCTACATAGCAAGTTCCAGGCCAGTTGGGGCTACACAGTGAAAATGCTGTCTCAAAAAAAAAAAAAAAAATGCTCTTGATTTTATTTTTGGTTCCATACAACACAAACATTTTTCTCTCATTTCAGATGAGCTACACAGAGAAAGAATAAGAAGTAACAGTATGAAGAGTATCTCGTGTATAAATAGCATGCTAAGCACACAGTGTTCTGTTACTCTGGGGACAGCAGAGACAAGTGGCTGACACACTGACATGACTGAAGCGAAGTAGACAGCAACACAAACACTCATTCAGACAAAACTGAAAAAATTGCTGCAGTTCAAATCTGTTCCTTCATTTTTTAAATGAAGGTTAAATTAGATTGCACACAGTATCTTCCTATTTGAATTTTCTGTTGTTTTGTTGTTTTGGGGGGATTGGGTGTGTGTCTGCGTTGCTGGGGATTAACCCCAGGCACAGGTGTTCCACTACTTAATTACAGACCCAGCTTTTAAAATATTTTTTTAATTGTTACAACCACCTCTCTATAGTAGTAATTAAGATGCAACTATACTCTTCTTCCTTTACTTATAATCTGTTGAATTAATAGATGGAAATCATTAAGAGTACTGGCTTAACAATCTTATAGGCCTACAGGGTAAAGGTGAAAAAAATTCTAGTTTTCACCAAATCCAGTTCTTCACTAAATATCAAATAGGAATACTAAAACAAATTTCCTTACTTATGCCTACAGTTGCCAAAAAATAAAAAGACTTTAAAAGCCTTAATGCAAAAATTTTAGGGGGGTGGTTCTTTGTGAGACAGGGTCTCTCTTTAGCCCCAGCTGGCCTGGAACTCATTATGTAGACCAGGCTGGCCTTGAACTCACAGAGATCCACTTGCCTCTGCCTCCTGAATACTGGAATTATACACCTGACCAAAAGCCTTAATGCAATTTTTAAATATTACAGGTACTCTCTCTAAGGAGATTGACATCTGGGTAGTCTTCCTCTACCATGCTCTATCTTATCCTTTCATCTATTTCCTCACTAATTTACATACTCCATACTTTATTAAGTTCTTATACTCTTAATCACTTTAAATATGCCCAAAAGTAACTTGGAAAAAAGTTCAATACAAATTTAAAATGTCATTAGCTTTTGTGGGTGGGTGGAAATTTTTATATTTCTCTCTAAACGAATCACAATAAAACTCAACACACTGGGGGCTGGAGAGATGGCTCAGCGGTTAAGAACACTGGATGCTCTTGCAGAAGACCCAGGTTCAAATCCCAGCACCCACATGGCAGCTAACACCTGTCCGTAACTCCAGTTCCAGGGGATCTGACAGCCTCTTCTGTCCTCCGCGGGCATTACACGACATAGGTGCACTTATCTACATGCAGGCAATATACACATACACATAAAAATAATAAATAAAATATTATAAAAAAGTTTAAAATTAAAAAAAAAAAACTCAACACACTGTGCTGATGATATCTAGTTCCCAATGGATTTTTTTTTTTCAATGCAGGTCAATGGTCTTAATAAAATTATGTTTCTCATTTAAGAAAAAATAAAAGTCCAGACGGGCATGGTGGCTCACGCCTTTAAATCCCGGCACTTGGGAGGCAGAGGAAGGTGGATCTTTGTTAGTTCAAAGCCAGCCTGGTCTACATAGTGAGTACCAGGACAGCTGGGGCTACAGGGAGACCCTGTCTCAAAAAAGACAAAAAAATAAATAAATAAAAGTCCTCGGCCAGGCCTGGTGGCATACACCTTTAATTCCAGCACTTCGGAGGCAGAGGCAGGCAGATTTTTGTGAGTTCAAGGTCAGCCTGGTCTACATAGCGAGTTCCAGGCCAGCTGGGGCTACAGGAGACCCTGTCTCAAAAACACCAAAAAAAAAAAAAAAAAGAAAGAAAGAAACATGAAATTTAAAATTTATAAGTGTCAAGACTATAAACAAAAGTAACAAAGTAATGTTTTATAAAATATAATCAAAATTTACAGAAATATAATTAAAAATGTATTACTAGTAATACAAAATTTCAAATTGATCTATTTCCAAGAACTTTTTTTAAATATTTTATTATTTTTATTTTATGTGTATGAGTGTATTTCCTGCATGTATGTGAGTGCACACATGTTGTACAATGCCACGGATGTCAGAAGAGGGCTTCGGATTCCCCTCGAACTGGGAATCGAACCCAGGTCCTCTCCAAGAGCAGTCAGTGCTCTTAACTGCTGAGCCGTCTCTCTAGCCACAAGAACACTTTAAGTATTTTTCACATGTAAAGTATAACTTTACTATGATTAGAAAAAATAGCTAAATTCATATTATTTTAGTAATTCATTCTACAGTTAACTAAATTTTGGATTATATGAGTTTTTAATTTTGGTTTTGTTTGAGGTAGGGTCATTCTAGGTGATCCAGGCAGGAGCTAGCCTCAAATTGTCCACCCTCCTAACTCTTCCTCCCACCAGCTAGAATTATAGTGAATTTTAGAATTATAGAGTTAAGCTATTTAGCTGTTTTTTTATTCCACTGTATGTATGAATAAAAATCAACATTTGTTGTAGTTCTTGTTTTGTCACTAAGCAACTGTGATGTAACTCCCAGAAGCCACTCTTGAGCTTCAGTGTTGTCTAACAGAATAAGGAACTTAAGAGGCCAGAGGGATGGCTCAGCTGTTAAGAGAACTATCTGCTCTTGCAGATTAAACACACAGGTTTAATTCCCAGGACTCACATGGTATCTAACCATAACTCCAGTTCCAGGAGGCCTGACACCCTCTTCTAGTCTCCACAGGCACTGCACAACATGGGTATACTTAACATCCATGTAGGCAAAACACTCATATACATAAATTTTAAATAAATGAAAAAAAAATTTAAATGAATGTGGAACTTAAACTAATAATAACAATAAATATTTTTCCATAAATTCTACCTTAATTTTATTCTATTTTTAAATTAGAGGTGGGGTGTCTGTGCAGGTGTGCATGCTTGTGCCTACATCTGTAAAGGCCAGAGGTCAACAATGGGTGTCTCCCTCTATCACTTTCAACCATATTTTTTTGAGACAGGGTCTTTCACTGAACTTGGAGCTCATCATTCTGCCATGGTTGACTGGTCAGCAAGCCCCTGTCCTTCCCAGATCCACCTATCTCCACCTCCCAGCACTGAGGTTACAGATATGTCCCTATCATACCTGGCTTTTACATGGGTGCTGGATTTCAAACTCAAGATTCTCATGCTTTCAGAGCAAACACTTCACTCACTGAGCCATCTTCTCTCTACCCCTTAACCACAAATCTTTGTAGCTCTAAAACATCTTAAATTCTACTTTTTTAAGTTTTAAATTTTAAATCTCACCTCATCTGAAGAATCTACCTGTCCCAATGCTCCTGTAGCACCTGTAAAACCTTTGGAGAGAAGAAAAAAGCATTGTCCATCATAACTGTCATACACTGATGTACTTTAAATTCTTTTCAAGACATACAAATACCAGAAAGTTAAGTTTTATTACATAAAGACATCACATTCTAAAAGTTACCTTGGTAAATGCAGCTTTATCTTGAATAAATTTAGATATAATAAGTTGATACTTCAATAGGAAATTCCAGTGAAAACCCAAATTTAATCATTACAAATGGTATATCAGAAGGATTTCTTTCTTCTTAGGTTTAAACCCTGATTTACTAAAATACTGAGCTCGAAACGTCTGAATAGCAACTTCCACATTTCTTATGAGTCAGAATCACAACCTTAAAAAACTAAACTAAAAACTTTTATTTAAGGAAAGTGAATTTTTTCATGGCTAATCTCTTTCACTCCCTTTATCCCTCCCTCCCTTTTTTTTCTTTCCCTCTGTGGAAAGAGGAGAGCTAATCTTTTCTTTCGTGCATCTAGTAATTTATGAGTTCTTATAAAGAATCACACTGTAAATTTGTTTAACAATGAAGAAAGTTTTAAGGATCTTTTTGTTTTAATACAGTGAAGTTACTATGGTTCAAGTTAGATACTCAGACAAACCTTGAACTGCCAGAGTGCTAGTACCAGCAGATGGTTCCTGCATACCATATACAAGCTTATCCTCAGGATATGTGAGGCCAGAGCTCTTCAAAGCTATAAGGTATTTTTCATGACTTTTCTTTGCACAAGCATTTTCTCCAAGACCTAATATTTAAAACAAAGTCAAAGTCAGAAGAAAATATTCCATTCAAAATCTAAATGCAAGGCTGGATGTGGTGGTGCATACCTTTGATCTCAGCCACCCAGTAGAGGCAGGTAGATCTCTGTGAGTTGAAGGCCAGCCTGGTCTACACAGCAAGTTCCAATTCAGCCAGGGCTACATGGAGAGACCCAGTCTCAAAAACAAAAGAAAAAGAAGAAAAAAAAAAAAAAACTAAATACAGTCATCCTGTAAATACATACATAAATAAAATATGAATAGTCTAAGAGAAGAAACTACATTAAACATAAAATAGCTTTAGAGCACATTTTCATGTTTATGATTGATATAACAATCCCAGAATAAGCAGCATATTTATAACAAAGAGTGAAATCTAATAAGCACCAAAAAACATGGGGGATTATAGGCAAGGCATGATAAGGCATGATCCCACCCTTCCGGAAACTTGAAAGTCAGTGGTAAAGAAAGGCAACACAAAATGCTATAGATGAGAATTATTAAGCAAACTTCACCACTTGGTTTGGCCATCTGTGCTCTTACAAAACCAAGCATGCCAGGCTTATCCAAAGCAGAGTACTCAGAAAAAGCTTTCTGGTGAAGATAATGCTTCAGTAGAAATTTCAAATACTATAAATGAAATTACATTAAAGTCCTGTTTATACTAATATTTTATCACATTTAAGGAATTAAAAGAATAATTTAAAGTATAACAAGATAATTTATCTCCAAAGTATAGGAACATTTAGGCTCTACAATTAATCTCAGAATTTCCATTCAAGCACTTCAGTTTATTAACTATTGTTATTTTTCTTATTTTAAATACATTACTGAGAATGGAAAAATAGTAAAAGAGAAAGAGTGATAATTTAAAGTTATTTAAAGGAAAAAGTATTCCCTATAGAAAAGCCAAATTTCGGGGCTGGAGAGATGGCTCAGTGGTTAAGAGCACTGACTGCTCTTGCAGAGGACCCGGGTTCGATTCCCAGTTCCCACATGGCAGCTACAAACCATCTTTAACTCCAGTTCCAGGGGAATCCAAAGCCCTCTTCTGACCTCTGCAGCATTGCACGACGCGGGTGCACTCACATACATGCAGGCAATACACTCATACACATAAAATTAAAACGATAAATGAAATATTTAAAAAAAGAAAAGCCAAATTTCCAAAGCACTTGCCAATTCCTAGATAGTTTTGCATCTTAAATTAAGCTCTGAAAAAAAAATAAATTAAGCCTTTAATCACAGCACTTGGGAAGCAAAGATTGGTGGATCTCTGTGAGTTCAACGCCAGTGTGGTCTACATAATAAGTTCCAGGCCAGCTGGGGCTGCAAGGATTACGCTGACCCAAAAAGATATACAAAAAAAAACTTTGGCAGGGCGTGGTGATGCACGCCTTTAATCCCAGCACTTGGGGGGCAGAGGCAGGGGGATCCTTTGAGTTCAAGGCCAGCCTGGTCTACATAGTGAGTTCCAGGACAGCTGGAGCTACAGGGAGACCCTGTCTCAAAAAGACAAAAAAAAAAAAAAAAAAATTAAGCTCTGAATATTTCTGATTATATAAGAGTGTGCTAAGCTTTTCTCCTTTCTTTGACAAACTCAATAATAACTATGCAATAGAGTCTTCTGGATTTGTTGGTTGTTGTTGCTATTCTGTTATTGTTGTTTTAGTTTTCAATCTGACCTTGTTTTTTAAGAAAACAAAAACAGAATAAATAAATGGGGACATACCCCTAGTTTCAAGTTCAATATTAAAAATAACCACAACTAGTTAAGAATAGAGAAGATGGGGAGCTAGAGAGGTGGCTCAGCAGTTAACACTGTTCTTGCATAGGACCTGGGTTCAATTTCCAGTACCCACTGTTCTTAACTCCAGTTTCAGAGGATCTGATGCTCTCTTCTGACCTCTGTAGGCATTGCACGACATTGATGCACCTACCTACATGCAGACAATACACCCATACACATAAAATAAAAATAACAAAAGTTTTTTTAAAAAAGAACAAAGAACATGGGGACTCGTGAGATGGCTGGGCAGTTAAGAGAACTGGTTATTCTTGCAGAGGACCTAGGTTCAGTTCCCAGCACCTACATGGGGGCTAACAATTGCCTGTAACTCCAATTCCAGGGGATCCTGTGCCCACTTCTGGCCTCCATAGACATTGCATACTTGTGGTGTACTTACATGCAGGTGAAACACTCAAAAATAAATAAAATCAAAAATTAAAAAATAAAAAGAATAAACAACATGCAGAGTCCTGCAGAAGAAACAAGTGAGTGCTGGGGCCATAACTCCATGAACAGTTCCTAACATATACAAGGCTATGGGTTCAAGTTTAATCTTCAACAAAAAAATAATTAAAGTTTCCTGAATGATAAAAGTCATACACTGAGGAGCTAGAGTTCAGTGGTCAAGAGCACTGGCTGCTCTTATGGAGGTTCCCAGAACTCACATGACAGCTTACAACCATCCATAACTAACCCAATGCCCTCTTCTGGCCTCCAAAGGCACTGCATGCATATGGTGTACATAAATACACACAGACAAAACACTCATACACATAAAATATTTTAAAAACTAAATTGAAAGACATACACTGATTTTCATAGATGCTGTTCATCTAACTAAATGTATTTCATCAATTCCTCAGAGTAACCCTGAAAAAACTGAATGTATTCTCATCATTTTTGTCAGTAAAGAAACAGGCTTAAAAAGATAACAAAAGGGGCTGGAGAGATGACTAGGTGGTTAAGAGCACTGGCTATTCTTGCAGAAGACCCAGGTTCATATCCCAGCACCCACATGGCAGCTAACAACCATCCATACTCCAGTTCCAGGGGATCTGACACCCTCTTCTGTCCTCCATGGCAACTTGCACTTACACATGGTGCACTTGCACATATGTAGGCATAGCGTTCATACATATAAAATAAAAATAAATAAGTGAATTTTAAAAATAAAGGCCAGGCATGGTGGCACATGCCTTTAATCCCAGCACTCAGGAAGCAAAGGCAGGAGGATCTCTGTGAGTTCAAGGCCAGCCTGGTCTAGATAGTGAGTTCCAGGCCAGCTGGGGCTGCAAGAAGACCAAAAAATAAAAATAAAATAAAATAAAATAAAGAATTTTTAAAAATGTTTTTTAAAGAAAAGAAAGATGGCAGAGTTAGCCAGATGAATACGAAAGAACAGTAAAAGTGAAGGAAGACTCTAATTTTCAAACTTTGTTTTACTAGGAATTAAACCCAGGACTTCATGCATGCTAGGCAAGCACTCTACCACTGAGCTATAATCCCTATTTTTGCTTTTTATTTTGAGACAATGTCCCAAGACACTAAGTTACACAGACTGGCACTAAACTCATTCTGTAGCCCAGGTAGGTCTTAAACTTGTGATTCTCCCTTCTCAGCCTCCCAAGTAGCTTTGTCTATCAGGCCTGGCCCAAATTTTAAACTTGAGAATCAAAATCTAATTCAACTTCCATTACTAAAAGTGAACAAAGGGCTGTTGTTGCAGTTGTTCAATTTCTGAAGGATTTTTTACAAATTGTAGAAACAATAGAAAACAATTACCACCAATCATTCCTAAAATATTCAATGCTACAATAGTTAAGAACAATCAACTTGGCTGGGCATCCCAGCACTCAGGAGGCAGAGACAGGCAGATCTCTGGGAGTTCCAGGCTAGCCTGGTCTACAAATAAGTTCCAGATCAGCTGGGCTGCAGGAAGACCCTGTCTCAAAAAGACTAAAAACAACAAGCAAAAAGTATTCATTTTGTTCTCCTTCTCAACAGTTCGCAGTTTCCAAATAAAGAACCATTTATAACTTAAATAACAGATCATCAATGCATGATTTCTTTAGTTCTAAAGACAGGGTCTCACTATGTAGCCCAGGCTGGCCTCAAACTTGAAATCCTCCTGCCTCCACCTCCTGCTGGAATTACAGGATGAACCACCATAGCCACTTAAGATACGATCTTTATCCATCTCCAGTTTCATCACCAAGACTCAAACAGAAGCCACTATCACCTTTATCCTGTACATCTGAGCCGCTTTTCTTGCCCCTTCCAATTTATTTTGAGACAGGATCTCACTAGGTTACCCTGGCTGACCCAGAACTTACTTTTTTTTTAAATTTTATTACTCCCATGTTCTTGGTATGCAGGGCTGACAGCATAACTGAATTAAGCATCAGTTCTCAGAATAAAGGTTATCTTGAAAAATCTTGAACTTCAGCAATCTCAATGGACAGTGAAGGGATCACATGTGAAATCCCTCAAATAAAAACTTATTGACTTTATGGGGCTGGAGAGATGGCTCAGCGGTTAAGAACACTGACTGTTCTTGCAGAAGACCCAGGTTCGAATCCCAGCACCCACATGGCAGCTAACAGCTATCTGTAACTCCAGTTTCAGGGGATCCGACGGCCTCTTCTGTCCTCTGCAGGCATTGCAGGACACAGGTGTACTTACCTACATGCAGGTGATACATCGTACACATAAAAAATATGTGAATATTGTTATTATTACAGGTGATTTCTTTT